TCCCAACAGATGACCTTTCTCTCGTTTTGCAGGACCTGTACATCAAATGGAAAGGCCCCTCTTTCGAGGTGCAAGTGGGCCTCCACGAACTCCTGGGCCACGGCAGTGGGAAGCTGTTTGTCCAGGTAGGTGTGTCGTATCTCTTGTGTGGACTACCACACCCAGGAGCCTCAGCCAGCTTGGCCAATGGTGAGGAATTCTGGGAGCTGAAGTCCAAAACCATTTGGGGGATCCACGTTTGGGGGACTTGCTCAGCCATGGCAATCCATTGGGTGCTCTTGGGCAAGTCACACTCTCCGCAGGCGCGGAGGCAAGCATTCCCCTATAACACTTCCAGATTGTGGAAATCGAACCTTCTACCAGTCTGCCTAGACGAGAGAAATATTGCTTTTGCTCCAGAACCTCGGGCCTTCACTTTGACCTGAAGATATTTAACCCCAGAACGGGAACAGTAACACCCCCACCCCCTTCTATTATTATGTGAAATTGGAAAGGACAACATTCAACGTGGTCCAAACCTCAATCCCCAAAATCCGGATGGACACACAGGCGACATCTTTGGAATTATATAGACTCTCTCTCTCTCTATCTAATATCTCCTGTTATCTGTCTATTTACGCTTGTGTACTTGCTATCGTATCGTCTTGCGTTCTATCGTCATATCTCTAGCATCTCGCTATCTCTCATTTACTATTTATCTAGCTCAATTACCTATTATCTATATGCATATCTCTCTTTTAGCTATCTATCTAATCGACTCTTTTCTATCTAACTAACCGATTTAGTTCTGATTACGATCTATATATCTATCTATCGGGCCGGCTATCTATCTAGCTATTATCTCTCTAATCGAGCGATCTAGTTATCTTCCTCTAGCTATCTTCTATCTTCTAATCTATCTCTCTGGTCTCTTTCTCATGTTTCGAGCTCACCTATTTATCGATCTGTCTAGTATCGAGATGACGGTGGTGTCTAGCGGATAGAGTCTAGCTATGTATCGGGCATAGGACCGTCCGTGCTGGATCGATATGTCGCTCCTGATTATCAATCTATCTATCTATCTTATCTATCTATCTTTCTATCTATCATCTATCTATCTATCTTTCTATCTTTCTATCTTTCTATCTTTCTATCTTATCTATCTCTATCTATCTATCTTATCTATCTATCTTTCTATCTTATCTATCTATCTTATCTATCTATCTTATCTATCTATCTATCTATCTATCTATCTATCTATCTATCTATCTATCTATCTCATCCATCCATCCATCCATCTCTATCTACCCATCTCTCCCTCTATCCTATCTATCTATCTATCTATCTATCTATCTATCTATCTATCTATCCATCCATCCATCTCTATCTACCCATCTCTCCCTCTATCCTATCTATCTATCTATCTATCTATCTATCTATCTATCTATCTATCTATCTATCTATCTATCTATCCATCCATCTCTATCTTGTATCTTATTTATCTTATCTATCTATCTATCTATCTATTCAATCTTTCTATATTATCTATCTATCTAATCTATCATTCTGTCTATATCATCTATATTATCTATTTTTCTATCTATATTGTCTATCCATCTATCTGTCTATCTATATTATCTATCTATCTATATTTATCTACCTATCTATATTATCTATCTATCTTATCTATCTTATTTATCTATCTTCTCTATCTAATCAATCTTTCTATATTATCTATCTATCTAATCTATCTTTCTGTCTATATATTATTTATTTTTCTATCTATATTATCTGTCTGTCTATCTATCTATATTATCTATCTATCTAATCTGTCTTTCTACCTATCTATATTTATCTATCTATTTATCTATATATTATCTATCTATATTATCTATCTTTCTATTTTTCTATCTATCTATATTATCTATCTTTCTATCTCTTATCTATCTATCTAATCTATCTTTCTATCTGTCTACATCATCTATCTTTCTATCTATATTATCGATCTATCTATCTAATCTATCTATCTATATTTATCTATTTATCTATCTATATTATCTATCTTTCTATTTTTCTATCTATCTATATTATCTACCTTTCTATCTATCTATATTATCTATCTTATTTATCTATCCTCTCTATCTATCTATCTATCTATCTATCTATCTATCTATCGAATCTATCTTTCTGTTGATATAATTTATATTATTTATTTTTCTATCTATACTATCTATCTATCTATCTATATTATTTATCTATCTATTTTTCTATCTATTTATCTAATCTATCTTTCTATATTATCTATCTAATCTGTCTGTCTGTCTGTCTTGTCCCCTGATTGTTTTCCTGTCCTTCATCCCAGATTCGGAGTTGGTACCGTGGAGGCGAGACCTGGGACAGCAAGTTTTCAAGCGTGGCGTCGAGTTACGAGGAATGCCGGGCCGAGTGTGTGGGGCTTTATCTCTGCCTGAATAAGGAGGTCTTGGGGTGAGTGACTGCATTGGTATTGAAAAGGAGTGTCTCTGAGCATGTGCAGAGTGCCTTCCCTCCAGAAAGCCATGATACACCCTTTTGTTTTCAGGCATCTTGGCCCCTTCCTTCCTTCCTTCCTTCCTTCCTTCCTTCCTTCCTTCCTTCCTTCCTTCCCCTCCCTCCCTCCCTCCCTCCTCCCTCCTTCCTTTCCCCCTCCTTCCTTCCTTCCTTCCTTCCTTCCTTCCTTCCTTCCTTCCTTCCTTCCTTCCTTTCTTGCCTTCCTTTCTCCCCTCCCTTCTTTCCCCTTTCCTTTCTCTTCCTTTCTTCCTCCATTTGCTTTTTTCTCCTCTCCTTCCACTCTTCCTCCTTTCCTTCCTTCTCTTCTTTTTCTCTTCCTTCCTTCCTCCCTTCCTTCTTTTCCCTCCTTCTCCCCCCCCTTTCCCGCCCTCCTTTCAGACCTTCCCTCCTTTGCGTGCATCCCATTTTCGCCCTGCTTCCCGCAGTCGTTCCCTCCTTCCTTCTCTTCCATTCTTTTTCTCTTTTCTTCTTTCCTCCCCTCCCCTCATACCTTCCCTCCTTTTCTTCCATCCCATTTCCCCCCTCCGCTCTTCCCTCCTTCTTTCCCTCCTTCTTTTCCTCCCTCCTTCTCTTCTTTTTCTCTTTCTTTCTTTCCTTCCTTCCCTTCCCTTTTCTTGTCCCTTCCTCCCCTTCTTTCCCCATTCTTCCCTCTTCTCTTTTCTATTTCTTTCTTTCTTGACTTGTAGTTCTTTCCTTCCCTCTCCTTTCCTTCCCTCTCTCTTTCCTTTCCTTTTCTCCTTTTCCTCCTCCTTTCCTTTTCCTTCCTTCCTTTTTCTTTTTTTCCTTCCTTTCTTTCTTTCTTTCTTTCTTTCTTTCTTTCGCTCTCTCCTCTCCTTCTTTCCTTTTCTCTCCATCCCTTCCTTCCTCTTCCTTCCCTTCTTTCTCTTCTTTTTCATTCTTTTCTTCCCTCCTTTCATACCTTCCCTCCTTTCCTTCCCTTTTCTGTCCCATTTCCTCCCCCTTCTTTCCCTCATTCCCTACCTTCTCTTTCTTTTCTTTTTCTATTTCTTTATTTCCTTCCCTCGCATCATACCTATCCCCCTTTCCTTTCCTTTTCGTCTACCTTCCCTTCTTTCTTTCTTTCTCTCTCTCTCTCTTTCTCTCCTCATACCTTCCCTCCGTTCCTTCCTTCTCTTTTCCATCCCATTTCCTTCTTTCCTTCTTCCCTTTTCTTCCCAGTCTTTCTCTTCTTTTTCTATTTCTTTCCTTCCCTGCTTTCATACTTTCCCTCCTTTCCTTCCTTCTTCCCTTTTCTTCCCAGTCTTTCTCTTCTTTTTCTTTTTTTCCTTCCCTCCTTTCCTGCCTTTCCTCCTTTACAATCCATTTTCTTCCTCCCTAGCCTTTGTGCTGCAAACAAACAAACATACATACTAGGCTTGGTTGATCCAAAAAAAATGGTCATTTCCGATTTTCACAGAAAAAAATTTAAAAACCTTTCGAAACTTCAGAGATTTCCAAATCCTTTCGTTAATGGTTTGAAAGTGTTATTTCCTGTTTCATTGGGTGGTCCGGACGGAAGGAGTGGGGGGGCGCACACAGACGGGGGAAAGAGCAAGCGGAGGAATTCCGGACTTCGCAGGGGGAAAACTGGCGGCGCTGGCGGGAGCCAAGGCAAAATGCGTGCCGCGCGGGTGTGAAAACGCGCCCGGACGGAGCCGGGCGAATGCCGGCCTTCTCTGGGGAAACGGGCGGCGGTCGCGGGCCTGAGCCGAAGGCAGGAATCCTGTCTGTGGCCTGGTTGAAACGGTCTGTCGCTGGCGGGAAGCCGAGGGGGTTTTTCAGGAAATTCCTCCTCTCTGGCTTAAAACTGTCTTCTCTGGCTTGAGCTGAGGTCAGGAAATTCCTTCCTTCTCTGGTTTAAAACTGGCTTCCCTGACTTGAGCCGAGGTCAGGAAATTCCTTCCTTCTCTGGTTTAAAACTGGCTTCTCTGGCTTGAGTCGAGGTCAGGAAATTCCTTTCTTTTCTGGTTTAAAACTGTCTTCTCTGGCTTGAGCCGAGGTCAGGAAATTCCTTTCTTTTCTGGTTTAAAACTGTCTTCTCTGGCTTGAGCCGAGGTCAGGAAATTCCTTCCTTCTCTGGTTTAAAACTGGCTTCTCTGACTTGAGCCGAGGCCAGGAAATTCCTTCCTTCTCTGGTTTAAAACTGGCTTCTCTGACTTGAGCCGAGGCCAGGAAATTCCTTCCTTCTCTGGTTTAAAACGGTTATTGGACCCAACGTGTCCTGCCTGCGCGGGGTGGAAACTGGCGGTCTCGTAGGCTTGAGCCGAGGCCAGGAAATTCGGCCTCTCGGGGGGAAAACGGGCTTCGCCGCGAGCCGGGGCAGGAAAGCCGGCCGCGCGGGGGTAAACGGGCGGGCGCCGCGGAGGAGGGAGAAGGCCGTTCGGGCGGGGGGGAAAACGGGCGGCGCGGACTGGAGCCGAGGGCGGAAGACGGCCGGCGCGGGGGGAAAACGCGGCGCGGGCGGGACCGAGGGCAAGAAGTCCGGCGGGCGGGGGGAAACGGGCGGCTCGGCGTGAGCCGAGGGCAGGAAAGGCCGGCCGGCGAGGGGAACACGGGCGGCCGCGGACGTGAGCCGGGGCAGGAAGGCCGGCCGGCGCGAGGGTCTGTAAAAACGGCGGCGCGGGCGGGAGCCAGGCAGGAAGGCACGGTGCGGTGGGGCGGGGGGGAAAACGGTCGGCGCGGGCGGGAGCCGAGGGGAAGGCAAGGCCGGCCGGCGCTGGTGGAAACGGTCGGCGTGCGCGGACACGTGAGCCAGGGCAGGAAGGCCTGCCGTCTCTGGGGTGAAACGAACTGCGTCTCGACGTGAGCCGAGGTCAGGACAATTCCGGCCGCATAGGGGGGAAAATGTCGGTCGCGACGTGGAGCCGAGGCAGGAAGGCCGGGCGGTGCGAGGGGTTAAACGGCGTCGCGGGGGCGGGGAGGGCCGAGGAGGCACGGAAAGTGCCGGCGCCGGGGCGGGGGGGAAAACGGGCGCGCGGGCCGGGATCCCGAGGGCAGGAATGCCGTCCTGGCGCGGGGTGAAAACGGGCGGCTCGGGCTGGAGCCGAGGTCAAGGAAAGGCCCGGCCGTCCTGGTTGACAACGTGGGCGGCTCGGGCTGGAGCCGAGGCACGAAAGGTCCGGGCGGGTCTGTGTAAACGGGCGGCGCGGACGGGACCGAGGGCAGGAAAGCCGGCCGGCGCGGGTGGAAACGGGCGGCGCGGGGCGGGAGCCGAGGGCAGGAAAGGCCGGCCGTCTCGGGGGGAAAACGGGCGGCGCTGGCGGGAGACGAGGCCAGAAAGGCCGGGCTAGGTCTTCGGGTGGAAAACGGCAGTCGCCGTGCGGGCTTAACTGAGGCCAGCCCAGCCGTCTCGGGGGAAACGAACTGGCGGGAAGCTGAGGGGCCAGCAAGGCCGGCGGCTGCGGGCGAAAAAGGGCGGCGCGGGCGGGAGCCAAGCAGGCAATGCCGGCCGCTCGGGGGGGAAAACCGAAAGGAGAGGCGGCCGCGGAGCGGGAGGGCCGGAGGGCGAGGCCTGGCGGTGCCGGGGGGAAAACGGCGGGAGGCGGGACCCGAGGAGAAGGCGGGCCGGCGCGGGGGTGAAAAAACGGGCGGCGCGGACGGGAGCCGAGGGCCAGGAAAAGGCCTGCCGGGGCGGGTGGCAACGGGGCGGCGCGGCGGGAGCCAGAGCCAGGACGTCCGGCCGGCGTGCGCGGGGGGAAAAAAGGGGCGGCGCGGGCGGAGGCAAGGCCAGGAAAGGTGCCGGCCGGCGCGGGAGGGGAAACGGGAGCGGCGCGGGGCTGGAGCCGAAGGGGCAGAAAGGCCGGCGGGCGCGGGGGGGAAAACGGCGCGCGGACGGAAGCCGGCCAAGGAAGGGCCGGCCGGCGCGGGGGGGGAAAACGGAGGCCGGCGGGGCGAGGACCGGAGGCCCGGGAAAGGCGGGCCGGCGCGAGGGAAACGGCGGCGCGGGCGGGGAACAGAGGCCAGAAAGGCGGCCGTTGTCTCGGGAAAACGGCGCGCGGGGGGGGCGGAGCCGAGCCAGGAAAGGTCCGGCTGGGCGCGGGGCAAACGGGCGGCCGGCGGGAGCCGAGCCAGGAGGCCGGCGGCGCGGGGGAAAACGGCGGCGCGGCGGGAGCCGGGCCGAAAAGGCCGGCCGGGCGCGGGCCCCGGGAAAACGAAAACGGCGGCGCGGGACGGAAGCCGAGGCCAGGAAAGGCCGGACTGCGCGGGTGGACAACGGGCGGCGGCGGAGGCGGGAGCCAGGCATAGGAAAGGCCGGCTGCGCGGAGTGCACAATAGTCGTGCCGGCGCGGCGGAGCCAGGCCGAACGAAAGGCCGGCGCGCGGCGGGAAAACGGGCCCGGCGCGGGGGCGGGAGCAGCCACGAAGGCCGGCCGGCGCGGGGGGAAACGGCGGCGCTGGGGCGGGAGCGGAGCCAAAAGCGGCCGGCCGGGGGAAACAGGCGGCGCTGCGGGAGCCAGGCCAGAAAGCCGGCCCCGGAACGGGGGGGAAACGGAGGGCGGCGCGGGGGACGGGGACCAGGACCAGAAGGCCGGCCGGCGCGGGGGCAAAACGGGAGGCGCGGCGGGAAGCCAGGCCAGGAAGCCGGAGGCTCGGGGCCAACGGGGCCGGCCGGGCGGAGCAAGGCCAGGAAAAGGCGGCCGGCGCGGGGCACACGGAGGAGGCCGCTCGGGCGGAGCCAGCCGAAGGCCGGCCGGCCGGTGAACGGGCGGCGCGCGGGACCGAGCCAAGAAAGGCCGGGGCCGGCGCGGGGGAAAACGGGGGCGGGCGCGGCGGAAGCCAGCGACAGGAAAGGGCCGCCGCGCGGGGGAAACGGGGCGCGCGGCGGAGGACCGAGGCAAGAAAGCCGGCCGGCGCGGGGCAAAACGGGCGGCGCGGGCGGAGCCAGCCAGGAACGTCCGGCGGCGCGGGGGAAAACGGGCAGGCGCGGGCCGGGAAAACGGGCGGCGAAGGCGGAGCCGGGCGAAAGCACGGCCGGCGCGGGCGGGAAGGAAGCGGGCGGCAGCGGGCGGGAGCAGAGGCCAGGAAAGGCCGGCCGCGCGGGGGGAAACGGAGGCTGTCGTCGCGGCGGAGCCGGAGCCAGGAAAGGCGGCCGGCCGGGCAAACGGGGCGGCGCGGCGGGAGCAAGGCCAGAAGGCCGGCCGGGCGCGGGGGCAAACGGGGCGCTGGCGGGAGCCAAGCCAGGAAGGCCGCCGGCTCGCGGAGAGCAAAACGGGGGGGCGCGCGGGGCGGGAGCCGAGGCCGAAAAAGGGCCGGCCGGCGCGAGGGGGAAGAAAACGGCGCGCGGGAGAGGGAAGCCGGGCAGAAGGCCGGCCGGCGCGGGAAAACGAGGGGGCCGGCGCTGCGCGGACGGAGCCAGGAAAGGCGGCCGGCGCGGGGGAAACTGGCGGCGCGAGAGCGGGAGCCGAGGCCAGAGGGCGGCCGGCGCGGGGGAACGAGTCTGGGCCGCGGAGGGAGCCGAGCCAGGAAAGGCCAGCCAGGCGCGGGGCAAACGGCGGCGCCGGGCGGCGGGCGGAGCGGGACGAAAGGACGGCAGAAGGAGGGGAAAAGGCGCGCGGGGAGCGAGCGGAGGCCAGAAAGGCCGGCCGGCCGGAGGGGGAAAACGGGGGCGGCGCGGCGGAGCGGAAGCCAGAAAGGGCCGGCCGGCGCGGGGAACGGGCGGCGCGGGCGGGAGCGAGGGGCCAGGAAAGGCCCGGCAGCGCGGGGGAAAAAACGGGCGGCGCGCGCGGGGGGAGCCGAGGACCAGGAAAGCCGGCCGGCGCGGAGGGAAACGGCGGCGCGGGGGGCGGGCCGAGCAGGGAAAGGCCGCAGCGCGGGGGGAAAACAAAGGGCGGCGAGGACGGGACCAAGCAGGAAAGCCGGCCGGCGCGGGCAAAACGCGGCGCGGGCGGGAGCCAGCCAGAAAGCCCGGCGCGCGAGGGCCAACGGCGGCGCGGGCGGGAGACCAAGGCCAAACGGCCGGCCGGCGCGGGGAAACGGCGGCGCGGGCCGGAAACGGCCGGGCCGAAGGCGGGAGCGAGCCAGGAAAGGGCCGGCCGCGCGGCGTGAAGAAGGCGGCGCGGCGGGAGCCGAGCCAGCGGAAAAGGCCGGCCGGCGCGGAGGGACAAACGGGAGGCGCGGCGGAGCCGAGCAGAGAAAGGCCGGCCGAGCGCGGGGGGCAAACGGGCCGGCGCGGGCGGGAGCGGAGGCCCAGGAAGGCCGGCCGGGCGGGGGGAAACGCCAGCACGAAAAAGGATCGAGCTCTCTTAAAGCCTGCCGGCGCGGGGGGAAACGCGGCTCCGGGCGGGGAGCCGAGGCCAGGAAAGGCCGGAGGGCGCGGGGGCAAAAGGCGGCCGGCGGGAGCGAGCCAGGAGAAAAGGCCGCCGGCGCGGGCGGTAAAAACGGGCGGCGCGGCGGGAGCGTGGAGCCAGGAAAGGCCTCGCCGACGCGGGCGGGACAAACGGGCGCGCGGGCGGGACGGAGGCCAGGAAATGACGGCCGGCGCGGGGGGAAAACGGGCAGGGCGCGGGCGGAGCCGAGGACAGGAAAGGCCGGCCGGGGCTAGGGGGACAAACGGGCGCGCGGGCGGGGCCAGCCAGAAGGCGCGGCAGGCGCGGGGGAAAACTGCGCGCGGGCGGGAGGCCAAGGCCAGGAAAGGCGGCCGCGCGAGGCAACGGGGAGCGCGGGCTCTCTCGCCGAAGGCCAGAAAGGCACGCCGCGCGGGGTGCAAAACTGGCGGCTCGGCGGGAGCCAAGCCCGGAAAGTCCGGCCGGCGCGGGGGGAAAACGAGGCTGCACGCGGCTGGAAAACGGGCAGGCTAAGGCGGAGCCGAGGCCCAGAAGGCCGGCGGCGCGGGCGGGAAAAAGGGCGGCGCGGCGGTGTGGTGGCGGAGCCAGGGACCAGAACGGGAAAAAAGGGGCCGGCAGCAGGGCCGACGCACGTCCTGAGTCTAACAAAGGGCGGCAAAAAGCTTCTAAAGGGCAAGGGGACTTCCGGTTTTTAAAAAAGCTTCGATATCTCTTCAAAAGGATAATTTTAACGAAATTATTACGAGCAACGAATTATCCGAGCAACTCTATCCATGCCTAATACATACATACTTTGAAGAAAGAGAGACGAATGGATGGATGGATGGATGGATGGATAGATTTGAAGAAAGAGAGACGAATGGATGGATGGATGGATGGATGGATGGATGGATAGATAGATTTGAAGAAAGAGAGACGAATGGATGGATGGATGGATGGATAGATAGATAGGTAATATAGATAAAAAAAATAAATAATATAGAAAGGTAGATTAGATAGATAATATAGAAAGATCAATTAGATAGATAGATAGATAGATAGATAGATAAGATAGATAAATAAGATAGATAGATAGATAGATTTGAAGAAAGAGAGATGGATGGATGGATGGATGAATGGATAGATAGATAGATAGATAGATAGATAGGATAGATAGATAGATAGATTTGAAGAAAGAGAGATGGATGGATGGATGAATGGATAGATAGATAGATAGATAGATAGATAGATAGATAGACAGACAGACAGACAGACAGACAGACAGACAGACAGACAGACAGATAGATTTTAAGAAAGAGAGACGGATGGATGGATGGATGGATGGATGGATGGATAGATAGATAGGTAATATAGATAAAAAAAATAAATAATATAGAAAGGTAGATTAGATAGATAATATAGAAAGATAGAATAGATAGATAATAGATAGATAGATAGAAAATAGATAGATAGATAGATAGATAGATAGATAGATGATAGATGAGATGGATAGATAAATAGATAGATAGATAGATAGATAGATAGATAGATAGATAGATAGATAGATTTTCCATCTACTTGGCTTTTGCTACTCTTTGTCTTTTCATTCTCACCAGGATCTTTGAGCTGGAGGGTGAAGACGCTGAGGATGTCATCTACATCAACTGGCTGAACATGGTCCGGGCGGGTGTCCTGGCGCTGGAATTCTACACACCTGAATCCGGATCCTGGCGGCAGGTAAGGATTCAGTGCCAATATTCCCTCCAGGTGAAGGTAAACTTGCATGTTTCACTTCCTGATATGACTTTCCTTGCCCCTTTCTCCTGGGCCAGGCCCATATGCAGGCCCGCTTTGTCATCCTGAGGGTCCTCCTCGAAGCTGGCGGAGGGTTGGTGTCCCTCCGTCACACCACGGGAACCGACGGCAAACCTGACGCCGTCGTCTCGCTGGACCGGAGCAAGATCTCCACGGTGGGGAAGCCGGCACTGGAGCGTTTCCTGCGAAAGCTGCAGGTATGTCTCTGTGCAACATGGACCCCCCAAGTGCCCAAGGGCCATTCAGTCCACCCCCATTCCGTTATGCAGGAAGACACAATCAAAGCTTTCCCAACAGATGGCCATCCAGCCTCTGCTTAATAGCTTCCAGAGAAGGAGACTCCAGCAGGCAATCTATAGTACATAATAATAATAACAACAACAACAACAACAACAACAAAACAACAACAATAATAATAAAGTATATTGTTACTATTAATAGTACATAATAATAATAATAATAATAATAATAATAATAATAACAACATAAAGTATATTGTTACTATTAATAGTACATAATAATAATAATAACAACAACAACATAAAGTATATTGTTACTATTAATAGTACATAATAATAATAATAATAATAACAAAACAACATAAAGTATATCGTTACTATTAATAGTACATAATAATGATGATAATAATAACAACAACATAAAGTATATCGTTACTATTAATATACCGTATATTCCGGCATATAAGACGACTGGGCGTATAAGACGACCCCCAACTTTTCCAGTTAAAATATGGAGTTTGGGATATACTCACCGTATAAGACCACCCCTCTTCTGCCTCCTCCTCCCACCTCGTGAAGGGAGGGAGAGAAGGAGGGAGATCCAAACGAAAGAATTAAAAACATCTAAAAACAATTACATCGATTTATTAAAATCACACAATCCAAAACTGTAATTGTGCTACTCTTATGAATCGTAATGTAAAATTTGATATGCAGGATTTCATTGTTACAAATGGAACATAATTAAAGCATAGTGATTAATCAGAAAAACAATGTTTGGGGGACGATAGACAAGAGATGATCGGATTTGCAGTACCTTGAACCGATTCAGCAATTACTTCTACAGACCAATGAGACCTTCATGTATTACAGACCTGGACCAAATTGGCACACAGAACCCCCATGATCAACAGAAAATACTGGAGGGGTTTGGGAAGAATTAATGGGAGATGTAGTTCACACATCCAGTAAGCACTTTGAACCCAAACAACTATTGATCTGGACCAAACTGGGCATGAACACTCAATATGCCCAAATTTGAACATTGGGGAAAACAGACCTTGGAAATTGGGAGCTGCTTGGGATTTATAGACTAAACTTGGGATTTATGGACTAAACTTGGCACAGAGAACACCCATGAACAAAAAGAGAATACTGAGATGTCTGGGGAAAACAGACCTTGGAAATTGGGAGCTGCCTGGGATTTATAGTTCTCTGCAATCAAAGAGCATTCTGAAACCCCAACAGCCATGGAATTGGACTAAACTTGGCACAGCGAACTCCCATGAATAACAAGAGAATACTGGGGGCTCTGGGGAAAACAGACCTTGGAAATTGGGAGCTGCTTGGGATTTATAGTTCTCTGCAATCAAAGAGCATTCTGAAACCCCAACAGCCATGGAATTGGACTAAACTTGGCACAGAGAACACTCATGAACAAAGAGAATACTGGGGGGTCTGGGGAAAACAGACCTTGGAAATTGGGAGCCTGCATTTTCCTTCCTGCCACAGCTATCTCCTGGGAGGCGCCTGCAAACGCTGCTGCAACTCAGGGGGCGTCTGCAGCACGGAGGCTTCTCCATTCTTCTCCGCAGGCCTGGGGATGGCTCTCCTCCGCTCCTGGGCCCGCCTACAGGAGTGGCTGCAGCCCAGCAGCTGCTCCACGGAGGAGGATGCCAGGAAGGTGTGAGGCTGAAAGAAGGGCTTCTTTCAGCCGCACCCCTTCTTGCTAGGACCCTCAACTCTCTGCATAGCAACCCAGCTGTCTTTTCCTCCTCTTTTATTGCACCTTTCTTTCCTCTGCGCTTTCTGGCTGCACACCGTTCTCTCCTTCTCCCTTGCCCCATACACATTTATTTTCTTCTTCCTCGCCCCGTGTGCACTTTTTTCTCCCTCTCTCTTGCCATGTGCGTGCCCTTTTCTCCTCCCTCGACCCACGTTCACCTTTCTTCTCCCTCACCCTGCGTGTACCTTTTTTCCCTTATCCCTCACCTCGCGTGTGCCTCTCCCTCGCCCCATGTGTGCCTTTTTTCCTTCTCCCTCACCCTCTGCGTGCCTTTCTCTCCTTCTCTCTCATCTTGTGCGTGCTTTTCCTTTTTTCTCCCTCACTCCGTGGGCACCTTTCTTTCCTTCCCCCTTTCTCTGCATACACTTTATCTTCCTCTCTCCCTCTCTTGCCAGAGCGACTTAGCTGGGTTGCTCTGCCGAGAGAGAGCGGAGGAAAGGCCTCCTCTCCCACTTTTCCAGGAGCCATTTGCAGGCAGGGGAGGACTTCCATCAGCCTCCGTCAAGCTGCTGCTGGGTTGCAGCTGCTCCTCTAGGCCTGCTCACACAGTGGCAGGTTGGCAGGGTGGAGGAGAGGTGTCCTGGAACAGCAGTGGCCTAACAACCAGCAACACCCCGGTGGAGGTGTTGAGAGGTAGGACGCCGCTGCCTCCCTCGCTCCAAGAAGGCACTCGATTATTGCTGGGTTGGGAAAGGGCTGCCGCTAGGCCGCTGCTGTCCCTGCGGGCTTGGAGGGAAGTTCTCTTCCACCTTCGCCAATCTGTACCCGGCGTATAACACGACCCCCAACTTAAAAAAAAAATTCCAGGGTTCAAAAGTCGCCTAAAACGCCGGAATATACGGTACTATTATAATATCAAAAAGAAACAACAAAACAACAACAATAATAGTAATAATAATAATTATAATAATAAAGTATATCGTTATTATTAATAGTACATTACAGTGGGAAGGGACCTCAAGGGCCATCCATTCCATCCCCATTCTGCTATGCAGGAAGACATGATCAAAGCATTCCCAACAGATGGACATCCAGCCCCTGCTTAATAGTTTCCAGAGAAGGAGACTCCACCAGGCAGTCTATAGTACATAATAATAATAATAATAATTAATAATAATAATAATGTATATTATTATTCTCAGTACAGTGGGTAGAGACCCCAAAGACTATCAATTCCATCCCAGTTCCGTTATGCATAAAGACACAATCAAAGCCTTCCCAGCAGATGGCCATCTAGCCCCTACTTAATAGCCTCCAGGGGGGGAGACTCCACCAGGCAGTCTATAATACAGTACAGTGGGAAGGGACCCCAAGGGCCATCCATTCCATCCCCATTCTGGTATGCATGAAGACACAATTAAAGCCTTCCTGACAGATTACCATCCAGCCCCTGGTTGAGAACCTCTATAGAAGGAGACTCCATCAGGCAGTCTATAGTAAATAATAATAATAATAATGTATTGTTGAAGGCTTTCATGGCCGGAATCACTGGGTTGTTGTAGGTTTTTTTCGGGCTATATGGCCATGTTCTAGAGGCATTCTCTCCTGACGTTTCGCCTGCATCTATGGCAAGCATCCTCCCTACCTCTGAGGATGCTTGCCATAGATGCAGGCGAAACGTCAGGAGAGAATGCCTCTAGACCATGGCCATATAGCCCGAAAAAACCTACAACAACCCAATAATAATAATAATAATAATAATAATAATAATAATAATTTTATTTCTTACCTTCCTCTCCTTGAGACGAGTACAGTGGGAAGGGACCCCAAGGACCATCCAGTCCATCCGTATTCTGGTATGCAGGAAGTCACAAACAAAACCTTCCCGACAGATGGTCATCCAACCCCTGCTTAATACCATCCTGTGGAGGAGATTCCACCAGGCAGCCTATAGTACACTAGAGTGAGAAGGGACCCCAAGGACTATCCAGTCCAACCCTGTTCTATCATAAAGGAAAACACAATCAAAGCCCTCCCAACAGATGGCCATACAGTCTCTTGAAACTCCAGAAAAGGAGACTCCACCATCATCATCAAAGATGATGATTCTAGACTATAGAATCCCAGGCAGGAGAGACACAATTCAACCAGGCAGGAGAGACACAATCAAAGCCCTCCTGATAGAGGGCCAGCCAGTGCAACGTCTCTAGGAGGCGAAGCAAATACAGTCGAGCTGCTATCTCAGTAGGAAATTGTTTCTTCTGAAGGTGCTGAAGTCCACGGCGGACGTGGCCGGAGGACGGGCGCTTTACGAGACCTACTCCGCTGTGACGGACAAAGGACCGGAGCGTTTCCTGACCCTGCGGCACACAGTGCTCCTGCGCAAAGAGGCACGCAAGCTCTTTGTGCAAGCCAACACACGCTTGGAAGGTATTCCACTGATGGATTCATTCATTGTGGTGACAAACTGCATTAACGCAATAGTCATTCTTGGTAGAATAATAGATTCATAGACACGTGCCAATCTGCTATGGCTTTACAGCAGGCATGGGCCAACTTGGGCCCTCCAGGTGTTTTGGACTTCAACTCTGTAACGGATTGGCCTACCTTAAAGGGTTGGTGTAAAAAGCAGGAAAGGCTAAGGAGAAAGGTGGTGGAGCAACCAGGCAGTCTCATAGCCAGAAGTGCAGTCTGATTGGCTAATGAAATTGTAGGGGAAAAGCTTAGCTGGAGATGGGCGGAGTCAGAGGCAAAGAGAAGCTGAGGCAGCCATTTTAAGTTCAGTTAGGAGTTTAGTGTGGAAGAAGAAGAGTTTTAGAAGTTTGAAGGAAGGAAGGAAAAGATTTTGGAACTGTTTGGTTCATGAAAGATACCTCTTTGAGGATAGTAGTTAATAGGCCTCTATAGGGATTAGAGTGCTGTGAGGGGAAGGGAGAATCAAAAGGTTTTAATCGATCCTGTTTGGATTTCTGTGTGTGGAACTTTGTTTTAAGAAACTCAAGATATAAGTACCATCCTCTGCAAGAAGTAAAGCCTGACAAGTTCTTTGAAACCATTACGCATAGTGACTGTTCAAAATAAACAACGTATTCCTGTTTTGTTCCAACTGAACTCTTCATGTGGCTTTTTAAACATTTGTGGCGAGGGAGAGAGACTATTTCCTTATTCAAAACACCTCTTTGCTGCCTTATACTGATTCAGTTTCTTCTTTTATATTGGCTGGGACTTTCTGTGTGCTGTTAAACCTTTGTGCTTTATGTCACAGGCAATGAAACACTCTTGTATATAACAAAGTAACACAGTTTATTTATAACTTCTGGCTCCAACGCTTGTGGTTACATTTGTGTTTTGTTGCAATCTTGAGGCTTACAGTCAGTATCATTTGAATTTTTCTGAATAAACTATCAATGTTTCACATTCACAAACATGTTACTTGCTTTACACACTCTTGGCTGAATTATATTCTGAACTAAGGCAACACTAGCCTTCTTTATGTTCCTTAAAACTCGAGCTCTATTTAACTAACTGCTTCTCTATATCAGTCTTTAACACATCTTCATAACAGCTTATTTCTATCAGGCACTCAAAAACCAACTCTCCTCTTCACACACAGATTCCTAACTGTCATTTTCAAACTCCCTCACTCTAACTGCCTCTTTCAGAACCTTGGCTCCGCCCCTTTGGAATGTTCAGCTCTGCTCTCCCCAACTGTCATTTTGGCCTAGCAGCCTTTTCAAATCCTGGGCCTACGCTAATCTGCATATGACCAATCGGCTTCACATATGCAAATGAATCCTATCTCTGCTGTTGCTACCCTGTCTGTACCTATTCTTCCCTATCTGCCATATGTAAACATAGAGCTATACACCAAAACTTTAACATAGAGTAGCAATTTCACTACAACATTCTAGTGAAGGAGGGGGCCTATTAAAATAATAAATTGGTGGCAGCAAAAGAAATATTTAATAGATAATTGGAGGCAGCAAAAGCAAAATATAAAAGACAGTGGTAGCTTCCCACTGACTGGCCTTGTGTGTGAGGGGGAAAAGGAAGGGGCTTGAGGCTGTTAGGAATTGTGCGAGTTGAAGTCCAAAACACCTGGAGGGCCCAAGTTGGCCCATGCCTGCTTTAGGGTTTACTAATTGCTCAATGTAGCGAATTTGTTGATCTATGTTAAATTTTTGGTGTATAGCTCTATGTTGCAATGTGGCAGAATTGGCTCAGATAGGGTAGCAACAGTAGAGGCAAGATTAATTTGCATACGTGCAGCCGATTGGTTGTATGCAGATGAGTGTAGGCCAGGATTTGAAAAGGCCACTGAGCCAGAATGGCAGTTGGGGGAAGAGAGCTGAACATTCCAAAGGGGCGGAGTTAAGTTTAAAAATAGGCAGTTAGAGAGTCAGAAAAGATTCAGTTAGGGATTCCTGTTTGTGAGGTACAGTTAGGAACTTCTGTGAGAGAAAAGCAGTTAGGAAAATGGAGCTTAAGTTTTAAGGAAAACAAAGAAGTGCCAGTGTTGTTTAAGGCAGAATATAGTTCTGTCAAGAGTGTATGAAAAAGCAACATATTTGTTGATGTGAAACAGTTGAAGTTTGATAGGAAAAGTTAACCAAGTGGATGATATTGAATATAAGACTCAAGACTGCAACAGAACACACAAATGTAACCATAAGCGTTGGAGCCAGAAGTTATAAATAAACTTTGTTACTTCGTTTATTACAAGAGTGTCTCAAGCCTGTGATATAAAGCCTCAAGGTAAAAGCTCACAAGAAAGCCCCAGCCAATTTTAAAGGGAAACTGTTTCAGTACAAGGCAGTAAAAAGATTTAAAAATAAAATCTTTTTCCCCCACATAAAAGGCACCTGTGAAAGGACTGAAGTAGTGAAACGTCGTCTCACTCAAGTTTTCTCTTTCTCTCTTTTAGGAGATGATGTTGTCCTCGTGCAATACGAAAGCAGTGCCGCGGGCCTGATCAGGTCCTTCCGCGACCGCTTTCCCGATGATGGCGAAGTCCTGGAGCGACACCTGATGGATTTGGCCCATGCGGACGCCCACTTCTGGGGAAAGTGAGGCCCTGAAACAATGCTTTGCCACCCACGGCTTCCAGATTCCCTTTACCTGGGAAGCTCTGCAAGCCATCACTTTCCCCGGGTTGCACTCAATAAACAAAAAACATGAGTTTGTACAAAATGGGTTTCATGGCGTTTTCTTAGGCGAGGAAGACTCAAGAGGTGATTCGGCCATTTTGTTCCTTTGACAATTAGCCAGGTATCGAACAACAATATTGCGGGTTATAGTGAGCGCCATGAATATGTACAAGAGCCCTGCCACTGTCCTCCACAAACACCATACTGCCCACCACCCAAGGGAAGGCTTTCACACAGGGACAATTTCATTCTAGATTTTCTGTTTTTCCTTCACCACAGGCATCCCAGTGTTTCTTTCTTCACATGACGGAAGTTGTACTTCACTGCCCACCACCCACGGAATGCTTTCATACAGGGACAATTTCATCCTGGATTTTGTGTTTTTCCTCCACCATAGGCATCCCAGTGTTCCTTACTCTCTCCATTGGTGTGGAATTTGCATTTACCCCCCACCCACTGCCTCTCCCTTAAATCTTTCCTACTCTTTTCAACTCTATCTGCACAACAAATAGAGCAGAACTAATCAGCAACAGAACATCCTGGAGGAGTTTAAGGGATGGACTTAATAGTTAATAGGCCTTAATAGTTAATAGACCTCTATAGTGATTAGAGTGCTGTGAGGGGAAGGGAGAATCAAAAGGTTTTAATCGATCCTGTTTGGATTTCTGTGTGTGGAACTTTGGATTTCTGTGTGTGGAATCTGCACAACAAATAGAGCAGAACTAATCATCCCGGAGGAGTTTAGGGGATGGACTCCACATGATGGAAGTTGCAGTTCACTCCCCACAACCCACGGAATGCTTTCATACAGAGACAATTTCATCCTAGATATTATGTGTTTCCTCCACCACAGGCACCCCAGTGTTCCTTACTCTCTCCACTGGTGTGGAATTTGCAAGATCTCGCCCACTGCCTCTCCCGTAACCCTTTCCTATTCTTTTCAACTCTGTCCACACAACAAATAGAGTAGAACTAATCAGCAACTGAACATCCTGGAGGAATTTAGGGGATGGACTTCACATGACGGAAGTTGTAGTTCACTGCCCACCACCCACGGAATGCTTTCACACAGGGACAATTTTATCCTAGATATTATGTGTTTCCTCCACCATAGACATCCCAGTGTTCCTTACTCTCTCCACTGGTGTGGAATTTGCAAGATCCCCCCACTGCCTCTCCCTTAACCCTTTCCTACTCTTTTCACAACAAATAGAGCAGAACGAATCAGTTCTGTTCTATTTGTCCTCCATCATAGACATCCCAGTGTTCCTTACTCTCTCCTTGGGTGTGGAACTCTTTTCAACTCTGCACAGCAAATAGAGCAGAACTAATCAGCAACTAAACATACGAGAGGATTTGGGGGGATTGTAGTTCACTGCCCACTACTGAAGGAATGCTTTCGTATAGGGACTATTTCATCCTGGATTTTATGTGTTTCTGCCACCATAGACATCCCAGTGTTCCTTACTCTCTCCATGGGTGTGGAACTCTTTTCAACTTTGTCTGCACAGCAAATAGAGCAGAACTAATCCGCAACTAAACATACTGGAGGAATTTGGGGGATTGTAGTTCACTGCCCACCATCCAAGGAATGCTTACATATAGGGACAATGTAATCCTGGATTTTATGTGTTTCCTCCACCACAGACATCCCAGTGTTCCTTACTCTCTCCATGGGTGTGGAACACTTTTCAACTCTGTCTGTACAACAAAAAGAGCAGAATTAAACCGCAAGTAAACATACTGGAGGACTTTGGGGGACTGACTCCAGATGATGGAAGTTGTAGTTCACCCTGCATCAAGTCAGAACACTGTGACCCCGACTGACAATGGACCTGGACCACATTTGGCACACAGAATCCCCAAGACCAATGAAAAATATTGGAGAGGTTTTTTTGGGGTGGCGGTGGGGGAAACACCTTGATTTATAGCCATTGTAGGTACTGGGATTTATAGTTCACCTGCAATCAAAGAGCACTCTGGATCCCACCAATGATAGCCCTGGACCTCATTTGGTCTGGAATGTATAGGACAAAGGTAGGAATCTTGGGCCCACCAGATGCTTTTGACTTCACCTTCCATCAATCCCAACTAGCACTGCCAATGGTGAGGAATGATGGGAGCTGTAGTCCAAACCACTGGAGGGCCAATGGTTTCCTTGTTTGGATGTTGTAACATCAACAGCAGGCCCTTCCTGTGTACAGATGTTACCAAACGATTCAGTTCTATTTACTGCAAATGGAAATCCACTAATAATAGTAATAATAATAATAATAATAATAATAATAATAATAATAATAATACTAATAACTTTATTTATACCCCACCACCATCTCCCCAAGGGGATTTGGGGCGGCTTAAATGATATACATTTTGCACCAAATTTCTATTCATTTCCCACCCAGGAAAAAGAAAACCCATTAAGACGTCAGATAGTATTAAAATATGTAGCCGGTGCCTTTTTTTATTGAAAGACTGCATTGTTTTTCTGTACAGCAATTAAAAAATACAAAATACGCCCAGTCCCTTCTAGCCTTGTCCGGTTGACTAAGAATAAATCAATTCTCTGGAGGCTATTACGCAGGGGCTGGATGGCCACCTGTCGGGAGGGCTCTGATGGTGGAGGCTATTAAACAGGGACTGGATGGCCATCTGTCGGGAGGGCTCTGATGGTGCCTTCATGCATAGCAGAATGGGGATGGAATGGGTGGCCCTTAGGGTCTCTTCCCACCGTACTGTACTATGGACTACCTGATAGAGTCTTAAGCAGGGGCTGGATGGCCATCTGTTGGGAGGGCTCTGATGGTGCCATCATGCATAGCAATATGGGGATGGAATGGATGGTCTCCTGGGTTCCTTTCCACTGTACTGTACTATAGACTGCCTGCTAAGAGTCTCCTCCCCTATGGGGATGGAATGGATGGCCCTCAGGGTCCCTTCCCACTGTACTCTGCTATAGACTGCCTGATAGTCTTAAGCAGGGGCTGGATGGCCATCTGTCAGGAAGGCTCTGATGGTGCCTTCATGCATAGCAATATGGGGATGGAATGGATGGCCTCCTGGGTCCCTTCCCACTGTACTGTACTATAGACTGCCTGATAAGAGTCTCCTCCCCCGGAGGCTATTAAGCAGGGACTGGATGGCCATCTGTCGTGAGGGCTCTGATGGTGCCTTCATGCATAGCAATATGGGGATGGAATGGCCGGCCCTCTATGTCCCTTCCCACTGTACAGTACTATAGACTGCCTGAGAGAGTCTTCAGCAAGGGTTGGATGGCCATCTGTTGGGAGGGCTCTGATGGTGCCTTCATGCATAGCAATATGGAGATGGAATGAATGGCCCACTGGGTCCCTTCCCACTGTACTATACTATATATTGCCTGATAAGAGTATCCTCCCCTGGAGGCTATTAAGCAAGGACTGGATGGCCATCTGTTGGGAGGGTTCTGATGGTGAAGGCTATTAAGCAGGGACCGGATGGCCATCTGTTGAGAGGGCTCTGATGGTGCCTTCATGTATAGAACAATAGTGATTGAATGGATGGTCCCCTGGGTTCCTTCCCACTGTACTATACTATAGACTGCCTGATAAGGGTCTCCTCCCCTGGGGGCTATTAAGTAGGGACTGGATGGCCATCTGTCGGGAGGGCTCTGATGGTGCCTTCATGCATAGCAGAATAGGGATGGAACGGGTGGCCCTCGGGGTCCCTTCCCACTATACTGTACTATAGACTGCCTGATAGAGTCTTAAGCAGGAGCTGGATGACCATCTGTCGGGAGGGCTCTGATAGTGGAGGCTATTAAGTAGGGACTGGATGGCCATCTGTCGGGAGGGCTCTGATGGTGCCTTCATGCATAGCAGAATGGGGATGGAATGGATGACCCTAAGGGTCCCTTCCCACTGTACTGTACTATAGACTGCCTGATAGAGTCTTAAGCAGGGGCTGGATGGCCATCTGTCGGGAGGGCTCTAATGCTGCCTTCCTGCCTGGCAGAAGGGAGACCTTATGGTCTCTCCCAATGTTATCATTCTAGGAAGGAAGTAAGAACTGCATGGCAATTACACTATGTAACAAATTTGAAAAAAAATCTGTTCCTGGTTTGAAAGTGTTATTTCCTGTTTAATTATGTGGAACTTGTTTTGAAAGTAGTTACTCTACTCCCGAAACTTTGTTTTTGTGGCTGCCACAAACTATTGGTTGAGACTCAATGAGATAGTCCTTGAAAAACTATAGCAGGATGTCCAGCAGAAAACAAAGTTTTTGCAGTTTAATACACTTATTCCATGTTTTTGCAATAGACCCAATTAAGAAATGACGCTTATAACCCAGGAACAAAAATTGTATTACATAGTGTTATAACATAAACAAGGTTGCCGACACATTTGGAAAAAGGCCGCCTAACAAAAAACCCTCCCATCGCATTCAGAAATTATTTATGTTTTTTCCCCCTGTCGTTAAAGGCAACGGGCTAATTAAAAATATTGTCAAGCTGAGTATGGATTTCCAGTAATATAAGTTAGCCTCATATATTAAGGAAAGCATTGCAAGGGAGCTAGCATTGTGGAATATATATATATATATTTGGCAATGGAATATGCTGCCACTTTTGGGATGTCTTTAAGCAGAGGCTGGATGGCCATCTGTCGGGAGGGCTTTGAGAGTGTCTTCCTGATGTCCGAACTGGGTTGGACTGGATGCCCTTTGGGGTCTCGTTCAACTATGATTCTGTGGCGGGTTGTCTATGGACGAGGGTTGAATGAAAAGTAATGCCTCCACCTTCGTAACTCAACAGATGGCAGTACTGGTATGCGGCAGGTACTGGCTTGTTCAGTAGACTCTCCTCTACAGTTCCATTTGGCGGGAAGCCTTAGCATTGAACGGTTGTGTTGTTAAAGTGAAAAGTAATGCCTCCACCTTCGTAACTCCTTAACAGATGGCAGTACTGGTATGCGGCAGGAACTGGCTTGTTCGGTAGACTCTCCTGTACATTTCCATTTTGGCAGGAAGCCTTAGCATTGAATGGTAGAGGAGAGTCTACTGAACAAGCCAGTACCTGCTGCATACCAGTACTGCCATCTGTTGAGGAGTTACAGCGGTCGAGGCATTACTTTTCATTCAACTCTCGTATGTGTATGTGTATATGGTCTATTACCTTTTTAAAATTAAAAATGTATTAACATTAAAAAAATATGATTCTGTGCCAGACTGCAACTCCCATCATCCCCATCTGATGAAAAATGGGTGGGAATTTTGGAATGTGCCATCCTTTCAGGGAATTGTAGTCTGGCATAAACTCATAGTTGGAAGAGACCCTCAAAGGCCATCCAGTCCAGCCAGGCAGGAGGACACCATCGAAGCCCTCCCAACAGATGGCCATTCAACCTCTGCTTTAAAAAACATCCAGGTATTGGAGTTGCAATGTAACAAAAGTGCCGGCTGACAGTTTTGAAAAGTATGCATTGCTCCGTCCTTTTTTTGGGAAAGTTAACGATTTTTAGGATTCTTTCAAACCGGATCAAATTGTCATGTGGACACAGCTTTGGTTCCGGTCTGGTACCAACGTGGAAGAGGGGGGCTTCCTTCCTGCTTTGTCAACGTCCCCAGGAAGAAGCGGATTCTGCTCCTCTATCCCACCTTCTGAGGATGTTTCCTTCCCATCGTATATGTCCTTGCACTGTGGGGAGAGGGGTCTCCTGTGGACCCCGCTCTGGGATCGGGGCAGAGGTGGCGTTTCAGGGTCGACAAAGGCAGTCCTGCGCCAGGCGCATCCGCTGCACCGTCAAGGAGCCTTCCTCCGTGAGGAAGACGAAGGAGAACGGGGTCCAACGAGGCCGGCAGCAACGTCTCTGCGAAGAAAAGGGAAAATGAGGTGTTATCTCTACGCAGATGATGTCCAGATCTATCACTCCTTCTCACCTGTCACCAAGGAAGCTGTCCAGACCTTGAATCGGTGTTTAGCTGCTGTGTCGGACTGGATGAGAGCTAGCAAATTGAAACTGAATCCAGACAAGACAGAGGTCCTACTGGTCAGTCGTAAGGCCGAACAGGGCATAGGGTTACATTCCCCCTGAAGACACAGGGAGTAATCCTGGACTCATCGCTGAGCCTGGAACCCCAGGTCTTAGCGGTGGCCGGGAGAGCTTATGCACAATTAAAACTTGTGCACCAGTTGCGCCCATACCTTGGGAAGTCTGATCTGGCCACAGTGGTCCACGCTCTTGTTACATCCTGAATAGACTACTGCAACGCACTCTACGTGGGGTTGCCCTTGAAGACTGTTCGGAAACTTCAACTGGTCCAGCGAGCGGCAGCCAGGTTACTCACCAGAGCATCATACAGGGAGCACACCACCCCCCTGCTGTGTCAACTCCACTGGCTGCTGGTCCAGTTCCGAGCACAATTCAAGGTGCTGGTTTTGACCTACAAAACCCTATATGGTTCCGGTCCAGTGTATCTGTCCGAACGTATCTCCCTCTACGTCCCACCCCGGAGTCTGAGATCATCTGGGGAGGCCCTACTCTCGACCCCACCACTGTCACAAGTGAGGCTGGTGGGGACGAGGAGCAGGGCTTTCTCAGTGGTGGCCCCTCACCTGTGGAACTCACTCCTGGGGGAAATTAAGGCATCATCATCCCTCCTCTCCTTCAGGAGGAAAGTAAAGACATGGTTGTGGGACCAGGCCTTTGGGCAATCTGACAACTAGATAAGGACAATCAAACGACTAGGACTGACAGGACTGACAATGCGGAATTGGAATTTGGACTATGAGATAGCGAACGCTGACCGTCTATGAGGAGTAATTGGGATTGTATCGTTTTATTGGTTTTAGGGCTGTAATGCAGGAATTGTTGTTTAACTGTTTCAACTGTTTAATTGATGTTATTTTGTTTTACTACTGTTATGTGATGTTGGCATCGAATTGTGCCTTTGTAAGCCGCCCTGAGTCCCCTTCGGGGTGAGAAGGGCGGGGTAGAAGAAACCGAAATAAATAAATAAATAAATAAATAAATAAAATATAACACCAGGGGCAGGGCATGAGCAGCAGGCTGTGCTGCTCGGTGGGGGCGGGGAGGAAGAGGGACCCTGCTGCTGCTGCTGCTAGTGGAGGTGGAGAAGGAGGATTGGACTACTGCAATGCGCTCTACGTGGGGCTGCCCTTGAAAACGGCTTGGAAATTCCAACTTGTCCAACGAGCAGCGGCCAGGATGTTAACTGGGGCCCTTTACAGAGAGAGGTCAACCCTCCTGTTCAAGGAGCTCCACTGGCTGCCATTTATCTTCCGAGCCCAATTTAAGGGGCAGGTGCTTACCTACAAAGCCCTAAACGGTTTGGGACCAGCCTACCTGCGTGACCGCATCTCCGTCTACGAACCCACGCGTTCATTTCGGTCATCTGGTGAGGCCCTGCTCGTGATCCCGCCTGCGTTGCAAGCGCGTTTGGTGGGGACACGAGACAGGGCCTTTTCTGTGGTGGCCCCCCGACTCTGGAACACCCTCCCCAAAGATCTTAGACAGGCCCCTACATTGGCAGTCTTTAGAAAGAACTTGAAGACCTGGCTGTTCCGATGTGCCTTCCCAGAATAGGAAATCTCCAATACCAAGTCCCAGAAGCACTTTATTAAAACTAAGATTGCCGCACACTGCACGCTGCACTTGCCCTATAAGCCTTATATACCACCTGTCACATCAGCACTTTTAACTCCTGTACCCATTACTCTGGCCCGGCCCAGTTTTATTGTGTCTTAGTGTATTGTTTATTGCTTGTCGTTATATTGCTTTAATTGTTTTTAATTTGCTTGGTTTTGTATTGTTATATTGTGTGTTGAGACCTTGGCCTTTGTAAGCCGCATCGAGTCCTTCGGGAGATGCTAGCGGGGTACAAATAAAGTTTAATAATAATAATAATAATAATAATAATAATAATAATAATAATAAAAGGATGATGATGAGGAGGAGCGGCAGGCTTCAATACCACCAGCAGCAGGATCCCTCTGGCCTCTGCTAGCTTCCTGCGACCCTTGCTCTTGGCACCCCTGGCAAAAAAAGTGTACCGCAACGGCTTACTTTGCGTAATGATTGAACCGCCTCTGTATAACACAATACTAATAAAACTTTATTTCTAGACCACCCTCTCTCACCAAAGGGTGGTTTACACACACAAAAATATAAGCATTCAAAATAGAATCATAAAATCCTAGAGTTGGAAGAGACCTCATGGGCCATCCAGTCCAACCCCATTCTGCCAAGAAGCAGGAATATTGCATTCAAAGCACCCCTGACAGATGGCCATCCAGCCTCTGTTTAAAAGCTTCCAAAGAAGGAGCCTCCACCACACTCCGGGGCAGAGAGTCCACTGCTGAACGGCTCTCACAGTCAGGAAGTTCTTCCTAATGTTCAGATGGAATCTTTTCTTGTAGTTTGAAGCCATTGTTCCGCGGCCTAGTCTCCAGGGAAGCAGAAAACAAGCTTGCTCCCTCCTCCCTGTGGCTTCCTCTGACATATTTATACATGGCTATCATATCTCCTCTCAGCCTTCTCTTCTTCAGGCTAAACATGCCCAGTTCTTTAAGCTGCTCCTCATAGGGCTTCTTCTCCAGACCCTTGATCATTTTAGTCACCTCCTCTGGACACATTCTAGCTTGTCAACATCTTTTATACTGTTTTTATACTTTTTATATTGTTATTATTATATTGCCGTTAAATTGTGTATCTATATTTTTTATATGGGCACCATGGGATGTTGATTTCTTAGCCGTCCTGAGTCCCTCTGCAGAGGTTGAGATAGGACGTGATATAAAAGGACCCAAACAATTATTGTCTTGTCAACCTGACATCAAATTGTAGAAGCCTTCTCTTCTGAAGGCTAAACATGTCCAGCTCCTTAAGCCGCTCCTCATAGGGCTTCTTCTCCAGACCCTTGATCATTTTAGTCGCCCTCCTCTGGACACATTCCAGCTTGTCAATATCTCTCTTGAATTGTGGTGCCCAGAATTGGACACAATATTCCAGGTGTGGTCTAACCAAAGGCAGAATAGAGCATGGGGAGCATGACTTCCCTGGATCTAGACAGTAGAGGCCAAAATCCCATTGGCTTTTTTTGCCGCCGCATCACATTGTTGGCTCATGTTTAACTTCCTGTCCACGAGGACTCCAAGATCTTTTTCGCACGTACTGCTCTTGAGCCAGGCATCGTCCCCCATTCTGTATCTTTGCATTTTGTTTTTCTGCCAAAGTGGAGTATCTTGCATTTGTCCCTGTTGAACTTCATTTTGTTAGTTTTGGCCCATCTCTCTAATCTGTCAAGATCGTTTTGAATTCTGGTCCTGTCCTCTGGACTATTGGCTATCCCTCCCAATTTGGTGTCATCTGCAAACTTGATGATCATGCCTTCTAGCCCTTCATCTAAGTCATTAATTAAGATGGTGAACAGGACTGGGCCCAGGACGGAGCCCTGCTGATGGCACTCCGCTCGTCACTTCTTTCCAGGATGAAGAGGAAGCATTGGGGAGAATCACCCTCTGGGTTCGTCCATTTAACCAATTCCAGATCCACCTCACCGTAGTTTTGCCTAGCCCACATTGGACTAGTTTCCTTGCCAGAAGGTCATGGGGGACCTTGTCGAAGGCCTTCCTGAAATCCAGGTACGCTCCAGGACATTCCCGCATCTACCCAGCTTGTAACTCTATCGAAAAAAGAGATCAGATTAGTCTGGCATGACTTGTTTTTGATAAATCCATGTTGACTATTAGCGATGACTGCATTTGTTTCTAAATGTTTGCAGACCGCTTCCTTAACAATCTTTTCCAGAATCTTGCCCGGTATCGACGTGAGGCTGACCGGACGGTAGTTGTTTGGGTCATCCTTTTTTCCCTTCTTGAAGATTGGGACCACATTGGCCCTCCTCCAATCTGCTGGAACTTCTCCCGTTCTCCAAAAACTCTCAAAGATGGTTCCGAGATGACTTCCGCTTGTTCCTTCAATACTCTTGGGTGTAGTTGATCTGGCCCTGAAAGGGGACTTGAACTCATTTAGAGTGGCCAGGTATTCCTGGATGACTTGTTTCCCAATTTGGGGTTGGATGTCCTCTAATCCCTCATCCACTCCATCTTGCTGAGGTTGAAGACGACTTTCTTTTTGTGAGAAGACCGAGGCAAAGAAGGCATTAAGTGTTGTTGTTGTTCATTCGTTCAGTCGTCTCCGACTCTTCGTGATCTCATGGACCAGCCCACGCCAGAGCTCCCTGTCGGCCGTTACCACCCCCAGCTCCTTCAAGGTCAGTCCAGTCACTTCAAGGATGCCATCCATCCATCTTGCCCTTGGTCGGCCCTCTTCCTTTTGCCTTCCACTTTCCCCAGCATCATTGTCTTCTCTAGGCTTTGCTGTCTCCTCATGATGTGGCCAAAGTACTTCAACTTTGTCTCTCGTATCCTTCCCTCCAGTGAGCAGCCGGGCTTTATTTCCTGGAGGATGGACTGGTTGGATCTTCTCGCAGTCCAAGGCACTCTCAGAACTTTCCTCCAGCACCACAGCTCAAAAGCATCTCTTCCTTCGCTCAGCCTTCCCTAAGGTCCAGCTCTCATATCCGTAGGTGACTACAGGGAATACCATGGCTTTGACTAGGCGGATCTTTGTTGCCAGTCTGATGTCTCTACTCTTTACTATTTTATCGAGACTGGACATTGCTCTCCTCCCAAGAAGTAAGCGTCTTCTGATTTCCTGGCCACAGTCTGCATCTGCAGTAATCTTTGCACCTAGAAATACAAAGTCTGTCACGGCCTCCACGGTTTCTCCCTCTATTTTCCAGTTGTCAATCATTCTTGTTGCCATAATCTTGGTTTTTTTGACATTTAGCTGCAACCCGGCTTTTGCGCTTTCTTCTTTCACCTTGATTAGAAGTTGATTAAGTAGTTCTGCCTTTTCCCTATCCCCTGTCAGTATCGCCCCATCTTCTCCTTGAAGAGGCCCTATCGCCTCCTTTTTCTACTGACATAAGAAAAGAATCCCTTTTTATTGTTTTTAATGTCCCTGGCAAGCTGAGCTTGTTTTGTGCTTTAGCCTTGCGGACCTTTTCCCTACAGGAGTTGGCTATTTGTTTGAATTCTTCTTTGGTGATTTCTCCCTTTTGCCACTTCTTGTGCAGAGTCTCCACCTCTGGAGGCTATTAAGCAGAGGTTGAATGGCCATCTGTTGGGAGGACCCTGATTGGAAGAGGGTTGGATTGGATGCCCTTTGGGGGTCTCTTCCAACTCTAGGATTCTAACACTATTTTTTGCCCGTGATCCAAGCCTGAATCACTCTGTCGGGAGGGCTTTGATTGTATCTTCTTGATTGGAAGAGAGTTGGATTGGATGCTCTTTGGAGGTCTCTTCCAACTCTAGGATTCTAACCCTATTTTTTGCCCGTGATCCAAGCCTGAATCACTCTGTCGGGAGGGCTTTGATTGTGTCTTCTTGATTGGAAGAGAGTTGGATTGGATGCTCTTTGGAGGTCTCTTCCAACTCTAGGATTCTAACACTATTTTTTGCCCATGATCCAAGCCTGAATCACTCTGCCCTTGGAATAATTCCAAAGCCCAAAATTGGTCGAGTCTGCATTTACCTGCTTTACGTCTCTGTCCGTTGCAAGGTTCGGTGGCTCCGGAGTGCATTCTTGAACCCAACGGTCCAGATCCGGCATGTCTTCCTTTCGGCGGCAAGGGCACCCCAGGCATTCGGTGAAGAGGAAGGAAGCAGGGTGCAGGACCCAGCTTTGCCAGCCAAGATCTGCAAGGAAAGGAAACACAAGGTGATGGAAACACTTTCCAAGAGAGACAAGATCCGAAAATACAGTTGAAACGTCATTGAGATTCCACCTAAAAATTAGGAAGACACAATCAAAGCCCTCCCGACAGATGGCCATCCAGCCTCTGCATAGGAGGAGATTCCATCACACATATCCCATAGATATTTATTTATTATTTGTAGTGGAATAAGCAGAAGCTGGATGGCTCTCTGTTGGGAAGGCTTTGATTGTGTCTCCAGCTGACATCCATCATTGCCTGGTCCTCTAAGAAAGCATCCCTAACAACGTCTCCATGGCAACACATACTGGGGCGTCTCCAGAGTAACGCTGTAGCCTTCTTTCATTGGTCATCTCTCCCATTTCTATTTACATATGCGTCTATCTATCTACTGCCCTCTTGTGGTAGCAACAGAGTGCTGCATACATACAAATGTATTTCTTTTTCCCAAAAAGGGTGGATCTCTATTTATCATTATTTATCATTATCATCATCATTATTTAAATTTGGATGTTGCAAAGTATGTATAACAAGCTTGGTTCAGATCCATCAAGCCACGTAGGAGTCTTTGTGGAACGAACATATATACATTTTTCCACTTTTAGATATTAATAATAATAATAATAACAACAACAACAACGTTGGACACTTCCCAAGTGTCTAGGACTGTGTGATGTCTCAGCAAATAATGCGTGCAGATCCCAGTAAGGTGGCCTTTTGCAGCTGGCAGATGGTAATTTTGTCAGCGCCGATTGTTTTTAAGTGCAGGCCAAGGTCTTAAGGCTCTGCACCCAGTGTGCCGATCACCACTGGGACCACCTTGACTGGCTTGTGCCAGAGTCTTTGTAGTTCGATCTTTAAATCCTCGTATCGTGTCAGCTTTTCCAGTTGTTTCTCTTCAATTTATTATTGCTATTATTATTATTATTATTATTATTATTATTATTATTATTATTATTAGCCGTCCCCTGCCACGCGTTGCTGTGGCCCAGTCTGTGTATATGTGTTTATGTGTGTGTATATATTTGTGTATATATGTGTGTTTGTATATGTGCATGCTTGTGTATATGCATATATGAGTGTGTGTGTGTATGTGTGTATATATTTGTGTATTTCTGTGTTTATATGTGTATATGTATATTGTGTATATGTGCGTGTTTGTATATGCATATATGTGTTTGTGTGTGTGTATATATATATATGTGTGTGTGTGTATATGTGTGTATATATATGTGTATACGTGTGTATATATTTGTGTATTTCTGTGTTTATATCTGTATATGTATATTGTGTATATCTGTGTGTGTATATGTATATATGTGTGTGTATATGTGTGTATATATATGTGTATACGTGTGTATATATTTGTGTATTTCTGTGTTTATATCTGTATATGTATATTGTGTATATCTGTGTGTGTATATGTATATATGTGTGTGTATATGTGTGTATATATATGTGTATACGTGTGTATATATTTGTGTATTTCTGTGTTTATATCTGTATATGTATATTGTGTATATCTGTGTGTGTATATGTATATATGTGTGTGTATATGTGTGTATATATATATGTGTATACGTGTGTATATATTTGTGTGTTTCTGTGTTTATATGTGTATATGTATATTGTGTATATGTGTGTGTTTGTATATATGCATATATGTGTTTGCGTGTATATATATGTGTGTACGTGTGTGTATATATATGTGTATACGTGTGAATATATTTGTGTATTTCTGTGTTTATATGTGTATATGTATATTGTGTATATGTGTGTGTTTGTGTATATGCATATATGTGTTTGTGTGTATATATGTATGTGTATATATATGTGTATACATGCGTATATATTTGTGTATTTCTGTGTTTATATGTGTACATGCATATTGTGTATATGTGTGTGCTTGTCTCTATGCATATTTGTGTGTATATGTGCGTGTATATTTGTCTGTGTTTGTGCATATATATATACATGGGTGTCTATGAATATGTGCATGTGTATATGTATATGAGTGTATGTGTATATGTATATATTGTGTTTTTTTGGGGGGGTTTTAAGTCTGTTCTGCTGGGTTTTTGTGTGTGTGTGTGTGTTTAGGGGTGATGGATACTCATTGGACTGTTAGGTGTATTGTGTCCAAATTTTGTGTCAATTTGTCCAGTGGTTTTTGAGTTATGTTAATCCCACAAACAAGCATTACATTTTTATTTATATAGATTATTATTATTATTATTATTATTATTATTATTATTATTATTTTGACACAAAAGCACAGTATGCACAAATGCGGGTATATGTGTGTGTTGTGTGATCTCCGTGCCCTTTACCAGTCAATGTGATGTGATGAGAGATCTGGACGCAGCTCCCTCTTCGGATCAGCAAGGTTTCATTGGACGAAATATCTGTTGCGGAGAAACAAAACAAAACAAAAACTTAATTTACAGTCGGTTTGCTGCGAGCTTTCCAACCTGTCTGGCCATGTTCCAAAAGCATTCTCTCCTGACGTTTTGCCCAAATCTATGGCAGGCATCCTCCAAGGCTGTGAGGTCTGTTGGAAACTAGACAAGTGGGGTTTATATCCCTATGGAATGATGTCCAGGGTGGGAGAAAGAACTCTTGTCTGTTGGAGACAAGTGGGAATGTTGCAACGGACCACCTTGATCAGCACTGAATGGCTTTGCAGCTTCAAAGCCTGGCTGCTTCCTGCCTGGCATCCTCCATAGGCTGTGAGGTCTGTTGGAAACTAGACAAGTGGGGTTTATATCCCTATGGAATGATGTCCAGGGTGGGAGAAAGAACTCTTGTCTGTTGGAGACAAGTGGGAATGTTGCAACGGACCACCTTGATCAGCACTGAATGGCTTTGCAGCTTCAAAGCCTGGCTGCTTCCTGCCTGGCATCCTCCATAGGCTGTGAGGTCTGTTGGAAACTAGACAAGTGGGGTTTATATCCCTATGGAATGATGTCCAGGGTGGGAGAAAGAACTCTTGTCTGTTGGAGACAAGTGGGAATGTTGCAACGGACCACCTTGATCAGCACTGAATGGCTTTGCAGCTTCAAAGCCTGGCTGCTTCCTGCCTGGCATCCTCCATAGGCTGTGAGGTCTGTTGGAAACTAGACAAGTGGGGTTTATATCCCTATGGAATGATGTCCAGGGTGGGAGAAAGAACTCTTGGCTGTTGGAGCAAGTGTGAATGTTGCAATTGGACCACCTTGATCAGCACTGAATGGCTTTGCAGCTTCAAAGCCTGGATGCTTCCTGCCTGGCATCCTCCATAGGCTGTGAGGTCTGTTGGAAACAAGACAAGTGGGGTTTATATCCCTATGGAATGATGTCCAGGGTGGGAGAAAGAACTCTTGTCTGTTGGAGACAAGTGGGAATGTTGCAACGGACCACCTTGATCAGCACTGAATGGCTTTGCAGCTTCAAAGCCTGGCTGCTTCCTGCCTGGCATCCTCCATAGGCTGTGAGGTCTGTTGGAAACTAGACAAGTGGGGTTTATATCCCTATGGAATGATGTCCAGGGTGGGAGAAAGAACTCTTGTCTGTTGGAGACAAGTGGGAATGTTGCAACGGACCACCTTGATCAGCACTGAATGGCTTTGCAGCTTCAAAGCCTGGCTGCTTCCTGCCTGGCATCCTCCATAGGCTGTGAGGTCTGTTGGAAACTAGACAAGTGGGGTTTATATCCCTATGGAATGATGTCCAGGGTGGGAGAAAGAACTCTTGTCTGTTGGAGACAAGTGGGAATGTTGCAACGGACCACCTTGATCAGCACTGAATGGCTTTGCAGCTTCAAAGCCTGGCTGCTTCCTGCCTGGGGGAATCCTTTGTTGGAGGCAGAGAGAAAGTTTGCAACTATGGTGGGGCATTTATTTATTTATTTATATTTCAAACTTCTATGCCGCCACTCCCCTAGGGCTCGGAGCGGCTTACAAGAACAAACTAAAATCTAACACAAATTAAACAACATATCAAAGATCAAAAGCCTGTCGAAACAAATATGTCTTACAAGCCCTGTGGAAAGCCGATAAATCCCGCAAGACACGGACTTCAGGTGGCAGAGTATTCCAGAGTGATGGTGCCACTGCTGTGAAGGCTCTGCGTCTGGTTGCTGTTAGACGCAAGGTCTTGACATTGGGAATTTCCAATAGATCTTGGTCCTCGGAACAGAGGGATCTCTGGGGTTGGTAGGGGGTGAGGCGGTCCCTCAGGTACATCGGCCCCAGACCATGCAAGGCCTTAAAGGTGAGTACCATCACTTTGAAAGTGATCCGGTGCTCAATGGGTAACCAATGCAGCTGCAGTAAGATTGGGGTTATGTGGCATCTCATCGGAATTCCCGCAAGAAGCCGAGCAGCTGCATTTTGTACCAACTTGAGCTTCCGGATCACCGACAGAGGAAGGCCAATGTAGAGGGCGTTACAGTAGTCCAGTCTTGAGATGACCGTGGCCTGGATCACCGTAGCTAGGTCGTCCCTGGACAGGGAGGGGGCCAGCCGTCTAGCCTGCCGCAGGTGAAAAAAAGCAGTTCTGCTAACGGCGGAGACCTGGGCTCCATCGTCAGCAGAGGGTCCAAAAGGACTCCCAGACTCTTTACCAACGATGACGGGCATAGGGTAGGCAGCTGGATGTCCCCACTGCCCGGTCGACCCAGCCATAGAATCTCCGTCTTTGCTGGATTCACCCTCAACCTGCTGGCACGCAGCCATCCAGTAACGGCCTCGAGGCACTGATGGAAACAATCGGGTACAGAGTCCGGTCGGCCTTCCATCTTCAGCACCAGCTGAGCGTCATCGGCGTACTGATAACACTCAAGCCCAAAACCTCGGACCAACTGAGCAAGTGGTCGCATATAGATGTTAAACAACAGAGGGGAGAGAATGGCCCAAGTAGGATTTCATTTATGGAGGTGCCTCAGCGCCCCTGGGCAAAACGAAGTGTACCGCAAATGCTTACTCTGCGTAATGGTTGCGCCGCCTCTGAGCAGCACCCAAACAGGAACCAAGGAACATGAAAGGCACTCAGCCTGAGAAGTCAGCCATAGCAGAGCACTCGCACCAAGCTGGACACAGCATATTATTTGAGAAGACAGAAATGCTGGACCACACTCACAACCACCATGTCAGACGACACAGAGAAGCCACTGAAATCCACAAGCATGTGGGCAATTTCAACAGAAAGGAGGAAACCATGAAAATGAACACAATTTGGCTACCAGTATTAAAATAATTCCAAAATCAGGACCGTAAATAAAGAGCAACACTCTGAAAATAGGAAAGTTCCTGACATGAAACAATCAGGGCCAGCTAACACCTCCCAACAAAGGATTCTCCCAGGTAGGAAGCAGCCAGGCTTGTAAAATCAGTACAGTAAATTAAGAGAAACACACAGAAAACAGGAGAAATTCAGACAGAAAACAATCAGGGCCAGCTAACATCTCACAACAAAGGATTCTCCCAGGTAGGAAGCAGCCAGGCTTCCTAACTGGGTAAAATCAGGATAGTAAATAAAGAGAAACACACAGAAAACAGGGGAAATTCAGACAGGAAACAATCAGGGCCAGCTAACGCCTCCCAACAAAGGATTCTCCCAGGTAGGAAGCAGCCAGGCTTGCAAATTCAGTACAGTAAATTAAGAGAAACACACAGAAAACAGGGGAAATTCAGACAGGAAACAATCAAGGCCAGCTAACACCCCTCAACATGGTATTCTCACAGGCAGGAAGCTGCCAGGCTTTGAAACTCCAAGGCTATTCAATGCTAATCAAGCTGGCCAATGGCAACATTCACACTTGCCTCAAACAGACCAGAGTTCTTTCTCCCACCCTGGAGATTATTTTACAGATATATAAACATTTAGTCCAACCCCATTCTGCCAGGCAGGAAGACACCATCAAAGCCCTCCTGACAGATGGCCATACAGCCTCTGCTTGAAAACCTCCAGAGAAGGGCAACAGAAACCTAGACCCTAAAGGCCATTTAGTCCAACCCCATTCTGCCAGGCAGGAAGACACCATCAAAGCCCTCCCGACAGATGGCCATACAGCCTCTTCTTGAAAACCTTTAGAGAAGAGCACTAGAAACCTAGAGTTGGAAGAGACCCCAAGGGCCATCCAGTCCAACCCCATTCTGCCAGGTAGGAAGATACCAAGACACCATCAAAGCCGTCCCGACAGACGGCCATACAGCCTCTTCTTGAAAACCTTTAGAGAAGAGCAATAAACCTAGAGTTGGAAGAGATCCCAAGTGCCATCCAGTCCAACCCCATTCTGCCAGGCAGGAAGACACCATCAAAGCCCTCCCGACAGATGGCCATACAGCCTCTGCTTGAAAACCTCCAGAGAAGGGCAATAGAAACCTAGAGTTGGAAGAGACCCTAAAGGACATCCAGTCCAACCCCATTCTGCCAGGCAGGAAGACACCATCAAAGCCCTCCCGACAGATGGCCATACAGCCTCTGCTTGAAAACCTCCAGAGAAGGGCAATAGAAACCTAGAGTTGGAAGAGACCTTAAAGGCCATTTAGTCCAACCCCATTGTGCCAGGCAGGAAGACACCATCAAAGCCCTCCCAACAGATGGCCATACAGCCTCTGCTTGAAAACCTCCTGAAAAGAGCAATAGAAACCTAGAGTTGGAAAAGACCCTAAGGGCCATTTAGTCCAACCCCATTGTGCCAGGCAGGAAGACACCATCAAAGCCCTCCCGACAGATGGCCATACAGCCTCTTCTTGAAAACCTTTAGAGAAGAGCAATAAACCTAGAGTTGGAAGAGATCCCAAGTGCCATCCAGTCCAACCCCATTCTGCCAGGCAGGAAGACACCATCAAAGCCCTCCCGACAGATGGCCATACAGCCTCTGCTTGAAAACCTCCAGAGAAGGGCAATAGAAACCTAGAGTTGGAAGAGACCTTAAAGGCCATTTAGTCCAACCCCATTGTGCCAGGCAGGAAGACACCATCAAAGCCCTCCCGACAGATGGCCATACAGCCTCTGCTTGAAAACCTCCAGAGAAGGGCAATAGAAACCAAGAGTTGGAAGAGACCCCAAGGACCATCCAGTCCAACCCCATTCTTTGCCAGGCAGGAAGACACCATCAAAGCACCCCCAACAGATGGCCATCCAGCCTCGGCTTAAAGGCCTTATAAAGGGTACTCACTGAGGTTCTCTGCTGCTGATAGTGCTGGGATTTCGGCCACTTCTTTTGCCCAATTTTGCCGCAACTGGACCGTCGTCTCAGCCGGGAACTGAGGGGCTCGATCCAAATGGAGCAAACGGAGAAGAGACTGACCGATGCGCTGGAGGACCTGCTCCCGACAGCTGGACAAAAGAGACAAAACAATGCTCGGTTCTGAAAAAAGCAATGCGATTCTAGACTGGATGGATAATAATAATAATAATAATAATAATAATAATAATAATAATAGGATGATGATGATGATAAAAAACAGGCTGGATAATAATAATAATAGGAGGAGGATGAGGAAGAAAGGATAATAATCTGGATAATAATAGGATGATAATGACAGCAAGGAGCACTGTTACCTTCCTGCCGGAGCAGTACCTATTGATCTACTCACATTTGCATGTTTTCGAACTGCTAGGTTGGCAGAAGCTGGGGCTGACAGCGGAAGCTCACGCCACTCTCCCCTTTCGGTCAACAAGCTCAGCAGCTCAGCGGTTTAACCCACTGCGCCACTGGGGCTCCATTATAATTATAATATTGTATTACAATATAATACTAATAGTAATAATACAATATTATAATTATAATTGTAATATTGTATTATTAGTATTATATTGTATTACATTATAATATTATAAATATCGGAGCTCCCGGTGGTGCAGTGGGTTAAAGTGCTGAGCTGCTGAGCTTGTTGACCGAAAGGTCACAGGTTCGAATCTGGGGAGAGTGGTGTGAGCTTCCGCTGTCAGCCCCAGCTTCTGCCAACATAGCAGGGAAGGAAGAGGGAGGAAAGGAAGGGGAGAAAGAAAGAAAGAAAGAAAGAAAGGGAGGGAAGGAAGAAGGGAAAGAGGAGAAGGAAGAAAGGAGAGAAAGAAAAGAAGGAAGAAAAGAAGGGAGAGAAGGAAGAAAAGAGAGAAGGAAGAAAAAAGGAAAGGAGGAGTGAAGAAAGAAGGAGAGAGAGGGAGGGAGGAAAGAAGGGGAGAAAGAAAGGAAAGAGAAGAAAGAAAGAAAGAAAGAAAGAAAGGGAAGTGAAGGAAGAAGGGAAAGAGGTAGAGAAGGAAGCAAGGAGAGAAAGAGAAGGAAAAGAAGGGGAAGGAAAGAAAGGGGCAGGAATGAAGGAAAGAGAGAAGGAAAGAAAAAGGAAAGGGGAAGAAGGAAAAAAGGGAGAGAGGGAGGGAAGGAAAGAAGGGGAGAAGAAAGAAAGAAAGAAGAAAGGAAAGAAAGAAGAGAGGAAGGAAGAAGAAGGAAAGAGGAGAAAAGGAAGAAAGGAGAGAAAGAGGAAAAGAAAAAGGGGAAGGAAAGAAAGGGGAGAGAAGAAGGAAAGAGAGAAGGAAAGAAAAAAGGAAAGGGGGAGAGGAAGGAAGAAAGGAGAGAGGAGGAAGGGAAGAAGGAAAGAGAAGGAGGAAAAGAAAAAAACGAAGGAAGGAAGGAAGGAAGGAAGGAAGGAAGGAAGGAAGGAAGGAGGAGAGAAGGAAGAAAGGAGAGAAAGAGGAAAAGAAAGAAGAAAAGAAAGGGGTAGAGAAGGAAGGAAAGGAAGGAAAGAGAGACAAAAGGAGAAAGAGGTAGAAGAGGAAGAAAGGAAGAAAAGGAAAAGAAGGGGGGAAGGAGAGAAAGGGTAGAGAAGGAAGGAAGGAGAGAAGGAAAGAAAAAAGGAAAGGAAGGATCGAAGGAAGAAGGGAAAGAGGTAGAGAAGGAAGAAAGAGAAAGAGGGAGGGAAGGAAAGAAGGGAAGACAGAAGGAAGGATGGAAGCAAAAAGCGAAGAAGGAAGGAAAGAGGTAGAGAAGGAAGAAAGGAGAGAAAGAGGAAAAGAAAAGGGGAAGGAAAGAAAGGGGTAGAGAAGGAAGGAAGGAAGGAGAGGGAAAGAAAAAAGGAAGGAAAGGGGGAGCGCAGGAAGAAAGAGAAAGAGGGAAGGAAAGAAGGAAGGATCAAAGGAAGGAAGGAAAAGAGGTAGAGAAGGAAGAAAGGAGAGAAAGAGGGAGGGCAGGAAAGACAGAAGGAAGGATAGAGGCAAAAAGGAAAAGGAAGGAAAGAGGAAGAGAAGGAAGAAAGGAGAGAAAGGGAAGGAAAAGAAAAAGGGAGGAAGGAAAGAGGTAGAGAGGGAAGAAAGGAGAGAAGGAAAGAAGAAAAAGGAAGGAAAGATGGAGCGAAGGAAGAAGGAAAAAGAGAGAAAGAGGGAGGGAAGGATGGCCACAGCAACGTATTATATATATGGAAATCCCCAAATCTATGAGAGGGATAAGCCACAGAAGGAAAAGAAAAGCAAAGCAACAGAGAATGCAGGCCTGCAAACCTTAAGAGTCATCAGAAATCTATTTCACTTGGACTGCATTAATTCTCCAGTGTAGACACACCTGAGGATCAAAGCCCAGCTTCACTGTATTGCAGTGTATTGCATTTGGATGTCCAAACTCGCCCCTATTTTGGATGCCAAGTCACACCTGCATCCCTTGGGTTGGCTTACCTTTCGTTGAGGGTCAACACAGTGGTTCCCAGTGGATGGTCCTCGTCCAAGTCCGTCTCCCGGGGGGCCGCCCATAGCAAGGCCCCGGTGAGGAAGCCACTCGCAAGGAGCAGGTGGAGCATGGTGCTGGCAGGCGGAGGGATGCGCACTTGGCCGCTGGCTGAGCGCTCAGGAGACCAGACTGTGGGAACCCACTTTTATCTGCCTCTCCCCCAACATTGTTGTGACCTTGGCATTTTTTGCAAGCCGGCTACTCCGACAACAGGGACAAGACAAGGAGTGTTGAGTGCCAGCTTTTTCCCGCCCAAGGGGGCATGGCTAGACTGTGCCAGGAGTTGGAAGTGACCCTAAGGGCCATCCAGTCCAACCCCATTCTGAAAGGCAGGAAGACACCATCAAAGCCCTCCCGACAGATGGCCATACAGCCTCTGCTTGAAAACCTCCAGCGAAGGGTAATTGACAGCTAGAGTTGGAAGAGACTCTAAGGGCCATCCAGTCCAACCCCATTCTGCCAGGCAGGAAGACACCATCAAAGCCCTTCTGACAGATGGCCATGCAGCCTCTGCTTGAAAACCTCCAGCGAAGGGTAATTGACAGCTAGAGTTGGAAGAGACTCTTAAGGGCCATCCAGTCCAACCCCATTCTACCAGGCAGGAAGACACCATCAAAGCCCTCCCGACAGATGGCCATACAGCCTCTGCATGAAAACCTCCAGCGAAGGGTAATTGACAGCTAGAGTTGGAAAAGACTCTAAGGGCCATCTAGTACAACCCCATTCTGAAAGGCAGGAAGACACCATCAAAGCCCTCCCGACAGATGGCCATACAGCCTCTGCTTAAAAACCCCCAGAGAAAAACAACAAAAGAGACTATCAGAAAACACAGTATTTTCTGTTGCTCATGGGGGTTCTATGTGGGAAGTTTGGCCCAATTTGACCAACGGTGAGATTCAGTATGTGCATTGATTGTAGGTGAACTGTATATCCCAGCAACTACAACTCTCAAATGTCAAGGTCTATTTTCTCCAAATTCCACCAGTGTTCATATTTGAGCATACTAAATATACCTGCCAAGTTTGGTACAGATCCATCATTGTTTTGATGGATCACACAGTACTCTCTGGATGTAGGTGAACTACAACTCCAAAACTCAAGGTCATTGCCCACTGGACCCTTTCAGTATTTTCTGTTGGTCATGGGAGTTCTGGGGGCCAAGTTTGGTTCAATTCCATCATTGGTGGAGTTCAGAATGATCTTTGATTGTAGGTGAACTATATATCCCAGCAACTACAACTCTCAAATGTCAAGGTCTATTTCACAAACCCCACCAGTGTTCACGTTTGGGCATATTGAGTATTTGTGCCAAGTCTGGTTCAGATCCACCACTGGTCGAGTTCACAATGCTCTTTGATTATAGGTGAACTATATATCAAGATCCATTTCCCCCAAACTCCACCATTGTTCACATTTGGGCATATTGATTATTTGTGCCAAGTTTGGTCCAGATCCATCATTGTTTGAGTCCACAGCGCTCTCTGGATGTAGGTGAACTACAACTCCAAAACTCAAAGTCAATGCCCACCAAACCCTTCCAGTATTTTCTGTTGGTCATGGGAGTTCTGGGGGCCAAGTTTGGTTCAATTCCATCATTGGTGGAGTTCAGAATGATCTTTGATTGTAGGTGAACTATATATCCCAGCAACTACAACTCTCAAATGTCAAGGTCTATTTCACAAACCCCACCAGTGTTCACTTTTGGGCATATTGAGTATTCATGCCAAGTCTGGTTCAGATCCATCATTGGTTGAATTCAGAATGCTCTTTGATTGTGGGTGAACTGTAAATCCCAGCAACTACAACTCCCAAATGACAAAATCAACAAAAAGAATGTTATGGTTGGGGGTCACCACAACATGGGGTACACTGGATTTAGGAAGATCTTCGATCCTTGACTGTAAGAGCTATTCAGGATTGAGATGCACAACATTCGAGAAGGGTTGCAGACAGGGGCGGCTAACCCATTACGCAAAGTAATCATTTGCAGTATAGTTGATTTTGCCCAGGGGCGCTCTTGAGGCGCTCTTGGGGGAAAATAGACCTTGAGATATGCGAGTTGTAGTTACTGGGATGTATAGTTCACCTACAATCAAAGAGCATTCTGAACTCCACCAATGATGGAATTGAACCAAATATGGCACACAGAACTCCCACGACGAACAGAAAATATATATCAGTGATTGGTGGGGGGGGGGGGGGGGGCAAATACTGTTTGCTTACCATTGAAAATTACCTAGGGCCACCTCTGATTGTGCATGTGGCAGGGCTCAGGTTGCATAGCAGCAGGTGGTCAGTGGTTTGCTCTTCTACACACTTGCATGTCATGGATTCCACTTTGTAGCCCCATTTCTGAAGGTTGGCTCTGCATCTCGTGGTGCCAGAGCGCAGTCTGTTCAGTGCCATGGATTGAGGTTCTGGGTTTGAGCCTGCCACTTTTGGACTCTCGCTTGCTGAGGTGTTCCAGCGAGTGTCTCTGTAGATCTTAGAAAACTATTTCTTGATTTAAGTCATTGGCATGCTGGCTGATACCCAAACAGGGGATGAGCTGGAGATGTCACTGCCTTGGTCCTTTCACTATTGGCTGCTACTTCCCGGCGGATGTCAGGTGGTGCAATACCGGCTAGGCAGTGTAATATCTCCAGTGGTGTAGGGCGCAGACACCCTGTGATAATGCGGCATGTCTCATTAAGAGCCACATCCACTGTTTTAGCGTGGTGAGATGTGTTCCACACTGGGCATGCGTACTCAGCAGCAGAGTAGCATAGCGCAAGGGCAGATGTCTTCACTGTGTCTGGTTGTGATCCCCAGGTTGTGCCAGTCAGCTTTCGTATGATATTGTTTCTAGCACCCACTTTTTGCTTGATATTCAGGCAGTGCTTCTTGTAGGTCAGAGCACAGTCCAGAGTGACTCCCAGACATTTGGGTGTGCTGCAATGCTCCAGTGGGATTCCTTCCCAGGTGATCCTCAGAACTCGGGATGCTTCTCTGTTCTTGAGATGAGGGACACATGTCTGTGTTTTAGATGGATTAGGAATCAGCTGGTGTTCCCTGTAATAGTTGGAATGTGTCCAGAGGAGGGTGACTAAAATGATCAAGGGTCTGAAGAACAAGCCCTATGAGGAGCGGCTTTAGGAGCTGGGCATGTTTAGCCTGAAGAAGAGAAGGCTGAGAGGAGATATGATAGCCATGCATCAATATGTGAGATTGTTGATGTTTTGTTGTTGTTAGTGATGCACTCATTGGGTGTTTTGCACACTTTTTCAATCTCCTCCATGCACTTCAAGGCCCAAGGGGAAGCTTCCCTTTTAAACCCCTTCCTTCCCCATATCTAACACCTGACGCCCCCATGATTGGGTATCAGTGCTCCCCAAATTGGGAGTCAGTGCATCCCAGCAGAGACACCAGAATTCAACATCATACAACATCATTCAACACATGATGTCATTTGTGTATTTATTTCTCCCTTTTTCCACAAGAAGTGGAAAAAGGGAGAAATCACCAAAGAAGAATTCAAACAAATAGCCGACACCTGTAGGGAAAAGGTCCGCAAGGCTAAAGCACAAAACGAGCTCAGGCTCGCCAGGGACATTAAAAACAATAAAAAGGGATTCTTTTCTTATGTCAGTAGAAAAAGGAAAAACAAGGAGGCGATAGGGCCTCTTCGAGGAGAAGATGGGGCAATGCTGACAGGGGATAGGGAAAAGGCAGAACTACTTAATGCCTTCTTTGCCTCGGTCTTCTCACAAAAAGAAAGTCATCTTCAACCTCAGCAAGATGGAGTGGATGAGGGATTAGAGGACATCCAACCCCAAATTGGGAAACAAGTCGTCCAGGAATACCCGGCCGCTCTAAATGAGTTCAAGTCCCCAGGGCCAGATCAACTACACCCAAGAGTACTGAAGGAACTAGCGGAAGTCATTTCGGAACCATTGGCAATCATCTTTGAGAGTTCTTGGAGAACGGGAGAAGTTCCAGCAGATTGGAGGAGGGCCAATGTGGTCCCAATCTTCAAGAAGGGAAAAAAGGATGACCCAAACAACTACCTACAAGAAAGGAGATTCCATCTGAACATGAGGAAGAATTCCTGACTGTGAGAGCCGTTCAGCAGTGGAACTCTCTGCCCCGAGTGTGGTGGAGGCTCCTTCTTTGGAAGCTTTTAAACAGAGGCTGGATGGCCATCTGTCAGGGGTGATTTGAATGCAATATTCCTGCTTCTTGGCAGAATGGGGTTGGACTGGATGGCCCATGAGATCTCTTCCAACTGTTTGATTCTATGATTCTATGATTTTCCTTTGTTGGATGTGTTCCTTCCACTTGCCTTCGCTGCCTCTTTCCGCCCAGTCTCATCCTGGGACCTGGTTGTTATTGTTGTGCTTTGCAGGATATCAACAAGACTCTTAGGAGAGCTTAATGAAGGACCGTGCCACCCTTGTTGTTGTTTGTCTCGGCCAAGGCGGGACCGGCGGCCTCTTGAGCGGCTTCCAAGCACGTCTCCGCCAAGCCTGCCAGACACCCCCAAGGTCAGCAGCAAGCAGGCGGAGGAGGAGGAGGAGGGAATGTGGGGCGGCCGTGGGGAGGGCCCTGCACCTGCCAAAGGATGTGACTCCACCATTTGCAATGAGCATGACAGTGTGCAGACAGATAGCCATCGGATCTTAGAGTTGGAAGGGATCCCTAAGGGCCATCTAGTCCAACCCTGTTCTGCCAGGCAGGAAGGCACCACTCTGGCACTCCCGAAAGATACTCTTGTTTCAAGGTCTCCAAATAAGGAGAAATTTCTGCAACCAGAGGTAATTTTCAGTGGTAAGCAAACAGTATTTTGCCCCCCCCCCCCCCCCCGTAACTACAACTCGCATATGTCAAGGTCTATTTTCCCCCAAGAGCACCCCTTGGCAAAATCAAATATACCGCAAATGCTTACTTTGCGTAATGGTTGCGCTGCCCCTGTGCACAATGGAGGACCTTTTTGCGGCAACACCAGAAGCACTCCAAGTGGCCAGATACTGGTCAAAGGACATTTAATCAACTACCAAGCTTGCAAACTTTGTGTTTTGTTTGTTTGTTTGT